TGAGCTCGCCGCCGCCCGCCCGCCGGGGCTTCTACCGCCAGGAGGTGACCAAGACGTCCTGGGAGGTGCGCGCCGTGTACCAGGACCTGCAGCCCGTGGGCTCGGGCGCTTACGGCGCCGTGTGGTGAGCGCGGCGGGCGCTGGCGGGGCGCGAGCCTGGCGCGGAGTCGGCGCCCGCTAAGCCGTGCGCCCCGCAGCTCGGCCGTGGACAGCCGCACCGGCGCCAAGGTGGCCATCAAGAAGCTGTACCGCCCCTTCCAGTCGGAGCTGTTCGCCAAGCGCGCCTACCGTGAGCTGCGCCTCCTCAAGCACATGCGCCACGAGAACGTGAGTGGCCCAGGGCACGTGCAGGGCCTCGCCTCTGCTCCAGGGCGTCCCCAGCGCCACCGCGAGGCCGCTTCCTGGGCTGCCCCTGGCCCGGCAGCCCGGGCCCGGGCCCGGGCAGGGGAGGCTGCTGGCCGGCAGCCAGCCTCAGCACCGCCGCTGGGAGAGGGGAGCCCAGACCGCCGAGGGGCGAGGGGCGCCTGGAACCCCGCGTCGCCCTTGCGCCCCACCTGGAGTCCTCGCCCGGGGAGCTGGGCCCAGGGGGACGGTCCTGGCGCTGGGCTCTGCAGCTTGGCCTGTCACTGCCTGGGGAAGGGGCCGGGTTTGGCACCGCCCAGAGCCACCTTCTTGGGGGGCCTGGGCCCTGAGGCCCTGGCTCATCAACCTGGCGATGGGGGTGTCTTCAGGGAGCCCTAGCCTGCTCTGAGGAGAGCAGTCTCCGGGCCACCAGGACCCCTGTCGTGGCTGCGTGTCCCTGCCGCAGGGCAGTGGCCACACCCTGCGCTCCTCCTGTTCCCACCCTTCATGCGCGACAGCAGCCCAGCCCGCCCCCCCGCCGGTCCAGGCCCCTCCGCTCCGGAGACCCCTGGCCGCCCCACCTGCCGCCCAGCAGCGCCGCCCCAGCCGGCCCCTCGGGCTCCTGCCCCCGGGCCGCCCTGTCTGCGCGCCTGCCTACAGCTCTGTCCTGGGGCGCTGGGTCTGCGGGTGGGCATCCGCCCCACGCCGGCGTCCTCCCCATGCTCAGGGCCTCAGTGCACTGCCAGGAGACTAGAAGTCTCAGCCAGCTGGAGGGGCCCTCACACTCCAGGTCGCTGCCCCGTCCTCGCCCGGTGCCTACCCGCTCCCGGCCCCACTGGCATCCTGCTCTGTCCTCCTGGCATCGCACCATGGCCCTGGGCCTGGGGGCTGAGTGGCCATCCAGCTGTCCCTCCACCTCCTGTCCACTCTCGCCTCACCCTGATCTGTCTCCACACGGCCGCTGGGGGACGCGGGGTCAGCTGCGGCTGACGTGTCCACTCCTGCCTCTCCCCGGCCGGAGCCTCGGCCCCTGGCCTCCCTCCCCGTGTTCCTCCAGCTCTCGAGGCGGCCCCCTCCAGCCTCGGCCCACTCGAGGGCCTCTGCAGCTGTCCCCCTGTCTCCCTGTCCCCCTCTGGGGCCCAGGTGTTCCACCGCCATGGGCCCGGAGGCCGTCACTGCCTCTGAGGCTGCGCACGGCTGGCCTGCTGTGCACCCTCCCGTGGGCTGCGCAGGGCTCAGCTCTGGATGGGCACCGACTGCCTGGCCCCCGGCAGGGCATTGCCCGCAGGCACCGCCGGCGTGCAGGGAGCGGAGCCTCTGGGGCCCAGCCTTCTGCCACGGGAGAGGAAGCGAGCGCCACGGACGGAGCTCCTGGGCAGCTGGGGCTGACGTGGACCTGGGCTGCCCTTCCCCCGGGGACAGGCCGTCACTGTCCAAAAATACCCCGTCTCGGTTCTGCACGCCAGGCTGCCTGTGCCCCGCTGTGCAGGGCGACCGTGGCCGCGGGGAGGTGGCGGCACCGGGGCCGGCCGGCCGGGCTGCCCACCAGGCCGTGCCTCTCTCCAGGTGATCGGGCTGCTGGATGTCTTCACTCCGGACGAGAGCCTGGACGACTTCACAGACTTGTGAGTCTGCTGGGGCTGACTGGCGGCTGGCCGGGCTCTGGTGCAGCTGACCGCTGGGCAGGCGCCTGCCTGCCCCTCACTGCCCCGCCTGCCCGGCACCCTCCACCGCCAGGCCCAGGCCCCGCCCCGCAGCAGGTGTGAGCCTGCCTCTGGCCTGGCACCCGAGGGCCAGGACGGGAGCTGCGGCCTTGGCTGGCAGGCAGGGGAGGGTGGCAGGGAGGGCGGTCGCAGGGCCTGCGGGGGGCCCGGGGAGCTGGTCCTCTTTCCTGGCCTGGCGGGCGCTGGCCTCGGCGCAGCCGCAGTGCCCTGGCTGCGGGGTACGGCCCCCAGCCGGCCCAGCCCCAGCTGTCCCTGGTGCCTCCTGCCTGGGCCGAGTGGCCTCGGGGCCCCCGCTGCGGCGGCCGCAGGTGAGAGCGGCCAGTGACCCTGCACCTGGCCGCAGCTACCTGGTGATGCCCTTCATGGGCACTGACCTGGGCAAACTCATGAAGCATGAGCGGCTGAGTGAGGACCGTGTCCAGTTCCTCGTGTTCCAGATGCTGAAGGGGCTGAAG